TTCTATTCGTTCAAAACCTGTGTCTTCTCTTTTTCATATTACCCGACTATCGTAGGACGATGTATGCAATTTGCAGGCTTGTTTAAAAGTCTTCAGCAAAAAAGAAATATTTTTCAACCCTTTTCATTATTATTATTATTATTATTATTATTATTATTATTATTATTATTGTGACCGTCATTTTTTGTAACAAATCTGCCCTAACATGCTAATCATAATAAAGATCGCTTTGAAGGCGAGAGGTGCTGGTGGTAGGGGTGCAGCAGTTTAGCCACTGTGACAGCGTAGTTTGGACCCCCATGGTCCGAAGTTCGAACGCTTCCACTGTCACCAATGCTTGGTGGTAGCATGCATAATCTATTGGGGACTTGTATGGTTCCCCACTCCAAGTCCCGGGGCTTTGTTTGTCGGCTTCTAACGGTGAATGGTAGGTCTACGTGACTATGGGGTTTACCCTGTCTGTTGTTCATCACAAAAAATTTATGGAATAAAACGAAAATTCATCGAGATCGTTTTAAATTAATGATGCTAATAACCTTTCATATTCGATGTATATAGTATTTGACAGAAGTACTATTAATTATAGTACTGCTAGTATTAATACTAGTGAACCATTCATCATTTCCTCAGACCCAAAAATACGTTTCTATCCCTGGTAGACTGCTTCCCTTTCTATACCCAACAGCCTTCGTTTATCTTGGTGACAGATTTATTTTGAGATATTTCACTAAGCCTGCAGGAGCGACCTAATGTGATCGGAAAACTTTGACTGATAAGAAAAAGACCAATTTCCTGCATAAAAGTGAACATTTTCCCCAATTTTCCTTATTTTCCTAATTACCTTTTTTTTACAATGTTTGAATTTTCGAATTTGGACGCCGGAAACACCTCAGACCTTACCACCGACCATATTTGATCCTGATTCCCTCATGACTCTCTACTTTCAAGCTAATTTCCAAGGTCATTGCTGGCCTGATGTATATCAACGGTCTTCGCCTTTTTGGTCGAGACAAATATACAACTTTGTCTGAAGATCTGTATTCCGTCTTCTGTCTGGTTGGGTTCGGGAAACGTGCTACTTTGCACTGGGTACCGCAGTCCGGGGTATTCGTGTACTGTTCACTCGGTCACTGGGTCGTTAGGGTTTCTGTTCGTAGTCAGTATCGCCGCCACATCTAATGTGGATCACGGTTCACGCTAGTCCGGTCACATCGTCTTTCCCAACGTTACAACATTAACCACAGATGCAACAAGGCTGGAAATGATATGGAATGATTGTAGCTTGGAATGTGGATGTTGGTGTTGATGAGTTCTCCGAGCTGGAAGAACACCTGGGAGAACTCACCTACACCATGCAACATGATCGCCTATTGTGTCACCGTTCGAAGCTGTCCAACCAGCAACTGTACTTGAACATCTGTAAAAGGAATATCGGATGGAAATAAAGATCATATTCTGGTCAGTCCCAATAGCGGCTGGTTCATCCATGAGGATGAGTAAAGCAATTTTTGACTTGACATTATCGTTGTCGGTTCTGACAATCATCTCTTTGAAACATCGCGTCCCGTCCAAGGTCCTTGGTGACATCGAACAGTTGTTCGTAGAAGCTTAGGGTTCAACCAGATGAATGTGGAAACACGCATTCACCACTCACACCAAAAAGAACTACTGAGTTTAATTTACTATATCAGGTATGACACAGTTTCTTCGCTAAACCTTACAATAGTTAATGAAACTCCCAATACCACTGTTCAGGAGCGATTGGGTATCCCAACGTTTGAATCTTCTCCACATTGTGTACAACTGACCAACGGGGGCTCAGAGGATTGAGGATTATTTTCAAAATTGGCTTCATAAACAAAAAACTATTCAAAATCGGACATTCAAAAATGAACTCATACACCGCTGAATTGCATATTTCTGACACTGTGAATGAGGACATCTTCAATTTGAGGTAATGTAAGTCAAGTTTCCTCGAACTGCGTTTGGTTTGATAATCCTCAACGGAATACCTTGCGACAGAGGAAGAAAGAAATTACCCATCGGCCAATTTCTAGACCGCTTTAGATCAATGTTCTTCAAAGATGAAAGAAAGATAGAAAAAGATTCAACAAATGGCAGGTGGGTTTGAGAATAAGAGTCTTCCTGGAAGTAGCTGGGAAAATGGTTGCAATGGAATACAAGGCGGCACCCAGTTAGCGTCATCATGTTTCAAGTTATCATCATCATCATCATCATCGTCATCATCATCATCATCGTCATCATCATCATCATCATCATCATCATCATCATCATCATCATCAACACCAACAACAACAACATCCGTGCCAATTTCCATATCGAAGTTATTCACATAAGTTATCATGGTCGTCTGAGCCATTGCATTATTCGTGTTTCGTGCAATGGTAGCCAAGTACGAGCTGCATTGTAAAACCAGGTTTAATTAAATGAATTTTACATTGCTTCTATGTTTTAATCGAATCAATTGCTGTTATTGTTTGTTCAATAAGTTCACAATAAAAATGAGAAAAACAACAGTTCGATCACATGAATTCGAAAAATTCAGGAGTTTCACAATAAAATTGTCTATTTTACTATTTGTTTTTGCAAGTAAACTATAGGCTACAAGTTTAGGGTTTATCTGAGCGAAACAAAGCACACGGAAATAGGAAATAGGAAATCAAAACACCGTTCATCAGTGATGAGTAGAAGATACTCAAGGGTACCGGTTCATTCGGATCTACCTCCCCCCACCCCGTATTATTCAGTTCTGTCGGAACATCGAAATCAGATGTCCTTGTGAAAGTGCTAAACTATCGATCGATCTACCCGTCTCGCACCGCGTCAGTTGATACGGTGTGGAGAACTGAAAACAATCCACGGTTGCTTTCAAGCAGTAAACAATGTGTATCGGAAAACAGGGAATCGCTAAATTTGCCGAAGGTTGTTGAAGTTGTTGTTACTGTCGACAACATGTTGCCTTCGGACACGCTTTCCTGGTCCCGGGGATGATTGTCTCAATTGAATTTGATTTCCGCCAAGTGAGCGCGGGCAAATCGAACTAAATATCCTAATGTTATATCCCCAAACAAACAGTTTTGTTCACTTTGTAAACACATGATCTCTTCTCCCGTCCAGACCGGATTGATTGATTGATTGATTGATTAGATGATCGTAGTAGGTGGGAACAACTGTTAGCGATTGCACAACCTACAGTCCATCCCAACAACAACGAAAACAACAACAACAACAACAACTCGTTCGTTGTAAAGAGCTGCCAACTGCTACATCTTTGTCTGACACGGATGCAAACCTGAATTTTCATGTCAACTTGTTTTCATCAAATGGAAAGCAGTAAAATTATTGATTTTATTATTATTATTATTATCATTATTCATTCCGCCAGCGATTGATGAAACAAAACAAAAAAATAACGTACGAGAGGTAATCAATCCAAATCAACTTTGATTACCAAATGAAAATTACCATTGAATGTGAGTTGATTGCGCATTCTGAAATGATATTCATGGGAACGACATATCTGTGCTAGTAGATGGAGACAATATTGTTAATAATCTAATCTAATTCGTCCTGTATGGTCGGATCCTGTTACGTCAAGCTAAAATAAAACTCTGGTAACTGTAATTCGTCATTCCGCACTTCTTAGTATTGGTTGTCAGTTGTTGTTTGCACGTAAACGTGAAATACCTTTGCCTCTAGGGATCAATAAACTGGATATCAAACTCTATCCACTATATTTCTACAGTTTGGGTTGTGAAGCAATTATTCACCACTCACAGAACGGGAATCCGGTCAGGAAAGTTTGACGATCACTTTGTCCGATCGATCCAAATTATTCCCGTGAGTGGGGGGGGAGGGGGTTGATTTGCAGAATTTATCGGGTAGTATTTCATTCTCATCATACTAATCTCACCACATGACAACTATCAATTTAGTTAATGACTGAGAACAATGCCTCGCTGATTTCTATCCTGATCCACACAGCCAAAACCATCTTGACGGATACTAAGGATAAAAACTGGACAACCTAACCAAATGGGTGTTTAATTTTATTCTGACTGTTCCATGGACAAGCTTTCGGTCGATTATGAAAATTCAAGTCATACTGAGGTGAATATTCTGCCCTCGGTGCTGTTGGCATTCTCAGACCTCCATTCATCTATTTCATTTTATGATTTGACCCCGTCTGTGCTGTGCGTTGTCTTTCCGACGGAACAAAATGTGATATGCGTTTTCAATCTACCAAAATACATTCATTTTGCACATGTTTTCCAGTCCTTAGTCCTGTATTCCTTCATCTCGGTTCTGCTAGCTCCGCTTCACAACTTCAATCCTTGCCCGTGTGTGCGTGTTCATGTGTGAGCTCATCTTTTGACAATATCTCTCACCGGCCCCGGAATTCGTGCACCGCTCACAGAATACGAGACGGTGAATAATTTCGCGGCGTATATGAACAGAATATGCGGCAAAATGCGTGAACCATCCTATATCAAATTTGCTCTGATCGAATCGATAGTTTTGTATTGAATAATTAGATACTGAGAGGTTAGCTCTGTTTCGTTTCTGGATTAAACAAGTACACAACCGAGAAATGGCAACTGTTACTTTTGATTCGGTGTTTCTGCTCGGACGCTTGATGATCATTTTCCACACGATACATTGCACCGGTTGCATCAAGGAAGTGTTTTGGGGAAAAAATATTGATTCGCATCTCATGGCTACACTTGTAGCAGATTGAGTGAGAACTACTGACTGATTAGCCAGGTATTGTTGTCCCGTTTAGGTAGATAATTAAACACGCAGTGAATTAAGTAGTATGTTTAGTGTAACGGGCACACATGTAGCCGCTGCCTAGGTCGGTGAGCAATCAGGGGCAGAAAGGAGATTGAAAGTACTGTACCCCTTCGAACTGGAGAGAGAGAGAGGCAACTTCATAGTGGTGTTTAAGATCCTCTAAGGGATCATACACATAGCAGGTGGGTCCCAGAGACTCACTCACTCCGAGGGTACCCCTTGAAGCTGTGGCCAAGGATAGGGTTGAATACCGACTGCAGATAACATCCTTCTCGATGAGGGTGGGAGATAATTGCATTAAACTACCGAATAAAGCCATCGCCGCTACCTCAATGGCTGACTTCAAACACCGTTTGGACAAGTTTTGGGGGAGAGTAATGTGTCAAGTCGCTGAAATCTGTCTCCTCCCCCCCCCGAAACCTCTTTATTCAAATAGTCTTCTTATCTCTTCATATCACCTCCTACCCCCTATTACTTTTCATCTGTATCAACTGCAAGGATTTTAATGTGACATTCCCACCTGAGTGGCCAGTAAACCAAACTCTGGCTCTGCACGTACATCCTCGAACTGGCATAATGTGTCTTGGGGGAGGGGAAGGTGTGTCTGCTTCGTCTACTTGTATTCCATTGAAGGTGAATTATTTCATGCTATGGTCGCAGCACCGTGAGATCATTGGAGCTCACCAGAGCAAGGAACTGGCAAGCGACCGTCAACGTTCTGGGCACTGAGCTGGACTAAACTGAGTAGACCTCGAAAAAAAAATGGTATCCCCCAACCCACCTCACCCCATCCCGCTACATTCGTCACATGTTTACCGGTCCAAATGAGCACTTAGTTTGTAGTTATGAGATCAGTTTACAGCTACTACAATGAACTGCTTGTTTTTCGTCCAAATTCTCCCGATTGGGATCAGTGCACCGCGTTCATCTCGCTGATACTAGGAGAACATAAAAGCACAAAGGATTTGTTTAACATGGGTGTGTGACATGCAAGGCGAACGATCGGCTGTCTACAGTGGGAACAAGTGAGAACAAACGCTAACCAGAAATTCGTTAGAACCGAAAGAACACAAATACTGCGAGATGTTAACATTTCTTTTAATCTCTTCAGTCGCTACAACGTAAAACA